GCTTAATCACATGCTTCTTGCTGATACAAGAAATACCTTTAGAATTGACTCTGCTTTATAAAATATGTACACATTATATGTACTTACCTATCTACGCTAATATGGTTATTCATTAAGCTTGTTTGCCAGATGCTCGTTATCTCCTCGGTCTCTTCTCTCGTTGGTTTTCCTGAAAAAGAAAAAACAATACAAAGTGAGGATCAACTTGAGGAAAGCAACATGGAAGAAGAGAAAAATTTTTACCAGACATTATTGGCCAACAATGCCCAATCAATTGAGGGAGATGGTATTGTGACCATAGGTCAGCGGTAATATTGGAACTCACTCCCAAAACATATTTTGCTCTGAGAGCTCACTCAAACAGATTCACCGAAATTTTACTCAACAGCACTCACTCGGACTATGACTCACCCAACTTTTTCTCAACCGTACTGACTCAGACTCAAACTTACCAACTTGTTCCAACAGATTCACTCAGACAAACTCACAGCTTGACCTGAGCCTGGGTGAGTAGATTTGCGAGTCCACTGGCACAAAATTAGTCTTTCTGATCATGGTGTAAATGCTCTTTAATGCCAGTATTTGACAAAATCAGTGCTGTATATGCAACACGCCTTTGATCTTTTACCCGCAAATAAGTTCTATCAGTACTTGCAATCAAGTAAGAAAATTTTTATGAAATATGCGACTCACATGAGATATTAAATCAAGAATGTCTCATGAAAGAGTTTGCGGGAAAACGTCATGGCACTCCTCCCTCCATCACACCTCTGATCAATAAACACTGAAGCGGTGAATCAATAATAGCCTGTCGAGGTATGGATAAATAGATCCAAGTCAGAATTGCTAGGTGCCGCCGAGCAAACAAGTTGACAGTCACCCCAAAACAAGCCCAAAAAGGCAGCAGTGCTTCTTCGAAGCTCAAAATAAGCAAAGGTAAACAAATGTTCCAATTATTGAAAATTGCGTTGCATTACGGAAAAAAATACTACAAATACATCTGGAAGGTGTACAAACTTATTTTGTATAATGAGAATAGGTGCATGAATAAAGGGAAGAATTTTTCCTAGCCTTACACACAATCACCATCACTGACGTCTTCACACATCATCCATATAAACAGATAAAACCTTTACCGTAGACTGTGTGATCTCGCACCAAAAGACATCATGCCTCATAAAGACATGTGCGCCAGTCACCCTTCGGTTTAGCTGAATGATAAAGGAATTGAATCGTTGAACAATATGTGAGATTACACGTCTAAGGTAAAGGTGTTATCGCTTTTTGTCAATGATTGTCCAATGTCGATTTGATCATGCGCAGTGTTCTTGAGGTGTGACAAAAGAGTAATTTTGTGGTTTGTTAATGAATAAAAATCAGTTGTTCATCTCGCTTGTCCGGTGAGTTCCTTTCTTGTGTGTTCTCGTGTCTGTGCACTAAGGTTCAAATATTCTACAAATGCTGACTGGTATAGGGAACCAAAGTTTCGCAGTGTTTCTAATCAAAAATTGCGTGCTGGGTGATGCAACATTTTCCAAAAAAGCCCAGGCAAGTCCCAAATAATGCAACAAGTGACCATACATTCAATTTCGCTTATAATAACCGGAACCGGCAACTCTGATCTAAGCACAAACGTAAGCCAAGAAATAGCTGTTCATCAAAACACCATACTCTGCACTTCTGTGTCAGACCAAAACCATTCTTTCTCTATGGCGAACTCCCAATTTTCCCACGTTCTCAGCCTAGCGTGTTATCTGCTCAAATGACTAGTTTTTCATTTGTTCGGTTAATGGCTAATGAAGTTATTGTAGTTAATGACATGAAATGTGTTATGACAGCTTGTGGCAAAAGAATCACAATGCATAAGCAGTGTTTTGATTAAAAGCAGCAAACAACATTGCTGGCAGAGTCAAATGTCGAGCATGCCAATCCCTCGGATGTAGATATCCTGAATTCGTCGGTTGAAAAACTTTCATTTGGTCACATCCAATTTCAAAGCTGTTATTTTGTAAATGTCGGGAGATAAAATAAATGCAGTGTAACGCATGCTTAGTGGATAAAACATGGGTGCAGTATCGTGTCAACAGGGGTGTCACATGGTTAATTTGGATGACAAATGCTGTTAACCCTCAAGAGAGGGTTAACAGTATGACAAATAAAATAATGGGCCTGGTTTAGAAAGAATTTTTACTCATATTGGCTCCTTTTAACAAGTTGCATAAGGGAGCCAACTGGTGTTGTATTTGATACCAATTCATCATCAGTAATGCACCGTGTAACACTGGTATTAGGCAGCGTGCTCTAGCAGTTGCTTTATCTGTCTCTAGTGTCAGCACGATCAAGGACTAGCAGCTTCACTTTCGGCATTACTTTTAGGACAATGGCCCTGCTTGCCAAATTTACTTTCATGCGAGGCAGTAACGAAAACAGGAAACTCTCAAAACACTTGACATTCTTTCGTGGTGTCCATAATTCTGTATAACAGTGTAATGAGAAATTGTTGAACAGGCAATGTAATTAAAGCCAACAGTTGCAAAAGTAAATGCCTATTTGTTAGAGCTATTCCAACAAAGAGTAGAGGACTTGTCCAAATGTTGGCTCTAGTGACATTCCCCATTCAATAACTTTTCATCATTTAAAGCCTCTCCTGAACTTATTGCCTGTGATAGCTGTGAAATGACTATTTGAGACAAAATTCGCATAGTCACTATTTCTTCAAGCAATCATGCATTGAGGGAAGGTGTTAAGTTTTACTCCATTTCTTGAAAAAAAAAAAGATGCTGACCATTAACATGGTATTTGGCTTTTAAGCAGCTTGAATGTGCACTTACCTCACCCTGCTTTTATGCAGACATTTGAAACGCTAATCTTTTCACATACATGCGTACACTCAGAATCACACATGTTTAGAGCAGTCTAGCACATTGCAGTGCACGCTGGTGTCATGCGCAGCTGCTTAATCACATTAGCCACAAGCTTCTTTTTATGCTTGAATTACAGCCAAAGTACCTAGCATGCGGTCTAGTATCACTAAAGTGCCGATCTCTGCATGTTTATACAAAAACGGCAACTGATCTGGCCGACTGAGTGCTCCAGACAAGTGTGCTTCAACAGTACATGTGAACGAGCATTCCAATTATAGTATGCAGGCTACGCTGCAGTAGCCGCCAAAGACTCACCTAGAAGGGTGATAAATGTCATAAGCATCCTGCCTTTCTTCGATGCCTTCAATATGTTCTCTGGATTAGAGGTGTCCATCTTGCTCATATCAATCTTCGGAGCCGGCCGCATGTGCTCCGGCAGTTCATCCGGCTCCAGCGGCTCCTCGTCTTCCTACAGAAGGAAGCATAAAGTTTGACAGAGTCACTGATTACATTCTCAAAAGTCCTGCATTAATGTCGGTGCAGGTCTCAGGTATTTCCAACTCTGGTGTTTAATGCAGCTCAACTTTAGTGAAACATGAGAAAGTGCGAAACGCGGGGAACCCAGCGATTTCCTTGGCGATTGCCACCGCCTCGGCAAAAGCGCGCTTGCCAAGGCGGTGGGCCTTCTGTTGGGCGGCGCAGGTATCAGCCAGATGATTTTTAAGTTCTTTTGCGAATTTACGTCAATTATTGCCATTGACTCGTGCTTACTTATGTAGCTTATATTGCTTTAGACTTTTGTTACTTTATATCGCACTGGTTTTGAGCATTATTAACATTGATTTACACCTGCATTGACCACTGCGTGACGGTGAGACACTGAAATCTACAGCAAAAAAAGGCGAAAGTCAGGGGAAGATGAAAGCTTGTGACGCAAGAATTATAAACAGGCGGTGTGTAAAGCCGACGTTTGGACAAGCGGGCTTGAAAGACAAGTGCGCTTGTCGACAAGTCGGTTGCAGTGCACACCCCCTGTTTGGGATCTTTCGAGACCGTGAATCGACAGGCCAGAGCCCTAGTGTGATGCACACTTCAAAATCACGTTGCAGCCACTTGCCTCCCACTGTTCGTAAAGTCTCTCCAAGTCGGCGTCATTGAAGTCGCGTACGTCTTTCTTGGCCCAGTCTGGTTTCGCACCTTCTTTTGATTTCTCTTCGCCTTGACGCCACGAAGAGAAGGGCAAAAGCTGCCGAGAACAGCACTTTCCTCATTTTAGCTTCGTTCAACGACGAACCAAACGTGTCACGACTTCTCGGAGCTACGCAGACTCATGCCACGAAAAGTACGGGCGCAGCAACTTGGCGAAGTCGCGGTTGCTCCGTTCAAATTCACGGTGTCGCACGCACGGAAAGAGAGCGTCAGCGTAAGCGCCGGAAACACCACCCGGATGTCTAAAAGAAAGCTGCATTGTGGCAGCACAATCAAAATTTTACGCGATTCGCGGCAAAAATATTATCACTTGCTAATTGTCTTGACATCTATTTTGAATTAAAAATTATTAAAATTTTGATTTTTACACATTAGGTTAAAAACGAGATAAAGCAGCTACTCTTCTTTTCATTACTAGATGTCGCGACCAGCTAAACTGCAGTTTGCTTGCTTTGAAGAACTATTCGCGAAATTGTCCAGCCTATACTTGTAATTAAAAAGAAATTTAGATAATACATCGCCTGTTAGCTGCACGTACGAAAGAACGCCAAATCAGCCTAACCATCAGCCAAACAGAAACTGCTGCGGACGTTTCACTTTGCAATCGGATGAACCCGAACAAGGAGCTCGCACAGCCGGTGTCACATGGTACGAGGCGTTACAATGGCCTTCCAGATTGAGTTTCATTGCACAGTCCACTGTAGTGACATTGATCAAACTAAATAGCTCTCGTCACACAAGGACACTCGTCGCGCGGCATGCACAATTTGCGAATGCCTAGAGTATCTTCCCTAGGACATATCTAGGGACATCTCGGGACCGGATATTGTCGTCTCCGCCGGCAATCCGCGTCAACAAGCGCGCAAGCACGGAGCGTGTTCTGTGACGTTGAATGGATGTTGCGTCGCGATTGCTTCGGTAGCAATCGTCTTTTGTTCGTCGGCAGGTGCAGGAAGTTGTGTATACAGTTTACTACACACAGCGCCTGACACCGAGCGGAGTTGCTGCGCCTTGACAAGTCGCAGCGCATCGTAGCTGAAGTGAGTACTGCCAGCTGTGCGCGCTGCTCTTTCAGCAGTTTAGCTTACCGTTCCGTGGTCTTCCCAGCCAGTGCTCTTTCGGTGTTCACCTTCTGCGGTTTTAACCCTCTCGCAGAATCGAAGCCCACTTGGTCGCCGTGCCCAATGTTGGATCGCGGGTCAAATGCTTCTGTATTTTCAACTGGTAGCGCTCACTGTACTGTTTTTAGTCAGTGAAACGCTGGGAAGCGCTTCTGACAGCGATGGGATCATCGCCTTTCCCGTACGGCCTGCCGTGCGACCGACGAAGTTCACGAGCCTCGAAGGCCAAGCCATCGAAGGCGCAGCCGCTGAGGGCTTCATTGCGAAAGTGTACCTCGGAACACCTCCACAACACGTGTGTAACCCCCCCTTTTTTAAGCGTCATCTGGTGTTTTCATTATTAGACGGCTTCATTAAGTAGCATGCTCATTGATCAGACATTATGACTCAAACGGCTGCTCGTGAAAATTTCGCTGGATTGTCAAAGTCGACAGTGTGTGACTCGGAGAGCTTGATTTATCATATTTCAAGTTTTATACTTATGTGTGCATTGACAAAACTTATGCCGATTTCTTATGCTGTTAAGAAAAAATGAACTAGTGTGTTTGGCATTTGACGTATGCTTTCGCAGATCTGTGCATTTAAGTTACATGCCTGTAATGTAGTTGCTGACAAAAATTATGGTTTGTCAAAGTTGAGCATCCTTTAAGCTTAGGGCGTATGGAGCCTCTGTAGACAACTTGTTTCAATTTTCACTGTGTATGTGATTGGACTTGATCTCTGTCAACCACCTACGTTTTTCAGATAAACTTATACGTAGACAGGGAGCAGCGACATCGCAGTTGCAGCGTCAGACGACAACAGCCTGACTACATACTTCTTTACAAATAGGTGGGTTCTGAGAAACCTTTTGGAACTGAAGCACCAGACTACAAGTACCTTATTTGAGCATGCAAAAATTGTAGTAAACAAGACTAAGTATTAAATGTGCCGGCAGCACTCAAGTAATCATTGAATGAACTTATTGGCGCAGTTGATTGCCTTTCGAATTGACTGTCGCAAAAACTTTCAAAATCTGCCACGTACAAGTTGTGTTACAGGAACTTGTGGTAGACTGTAAAGCGATTTCTCCCTAGTTATTTTCCTAGCGAGGTAGAAGCTATGCGTGTACGTCAGCACACGTCATGATTTTGAGCACTTTCTTCTTTTCTGTGAACGTGCGGCTCACTTTCATTGTGACGGGCTCGTGTAATTCTATAGCATAACACTATGCTGTAGAGAAGAACAACCTGTTGCAGCCAGGGAGCTCGCAATGCTCAAATCAGCCAGTAATCTATGTGCATTTGGGTATATGATACAGCTAATTTCACTATATGGCACGATGTGTCAAGAGAAGTGAGTAATCGTCAGCTGCTCACTTTGAAATTTCATTGTAAATTCTATGCATCATACTGCACTGCAAGGATTAGCTCACATATCTGCAGGGCTCCAATGTGGACGGAGGGGGGAAGGGAGTTCATTCACTTCCCTCCTAGAATTTTTCAGTTACCATGACACAGGCAACATACTAATAGATGGCAAACATATATTAACACTGTATGTTTACTTATATTTTGATTCAGTGATATTAAAAACAACTTTGGTATATTGATATAAGCTACAAGGAAATAGTATAGAATAAAATTTATCAACATCAGGCCAGTAGTTTAGTACTAAAAAAAATGGGACTTCTTCATGAGAGTGTTTTGACAAAGTGGGAAAACACCATCTTACTGCCGCATAAAAGCACCATGTCACGATTGCTTTAATGGATATTTAGGATGGAACGGGCAAAGCAAGTGCTGCAGAGTATCAGTTCTTGAGCTGTGAAGAGAAAAGTTGTGCGGACCTCGTTTTAGCTGAAGAACGCCACCTCTTGCAAGCCTTCATTGCGCTCTTTTCTGTTCCTCCAAAGCCTACTTCATCGCAAGCACCAACTATCTTTGTTAGCTTATTTGACTGTCCTTACTTTTGCTGTCGAAACTGTCTAGTATAGCTGTTGTCCCTGAATATGTGCCTACTTTTAAAAAGGCATAATGTATGAAAAAAGATATTTCCTTGCACTAATATTCACAATTTCACTGGGGTATGAGGGGGCAATTTCGGAGGGGTTTGCTTGGATGCATTATCAGTAAAGTTGGTGTGCAAGTTTATAAGAAAACATGAGATGACTGAAAGCTAAAATCACCTCTCAGGAAAACCAGAAAGATAGGAAATCGTTCAACATTTTGATTCGTAGGTTCTATCTATCTGAAGAGGAGGAAAGTTTGTATCTATCGTAAAACGCCGACCAAAATGAATGCCATTGTAACATTACTTTCACTCTTCGAAAGCACAGTAAAAATTTGTTTGGAGACAACAAAAACTTAACTAAAATGTGAGTGACGTAGCGCTGCACTAAGTGTGATGGGTGATGTGGGAGAAAACTTCTCCAGTGGGACGTATGTGTCCTACTGTCGCACATATTGTTAATTAACTATTGGTAAGTTTACCCCCCTCCCCCCCCCCCCGAAAAAATTATGGCTATTCTGCTGTTTAGTGGCTCGGGTACATGTTGACAGTATTTGTGACATCACTAAAAAGGTTTTGTAAACCCCATAAAAAATTGCCTATGACTAGAAAGTGTGAAAAGTTTATTTGTTTTTAAAAATTTTTTTTCACGTGGATCTTACTCATTTCAGGTCAGCAACTTACGTTGCAGGTACGGAGGATGTGTCAAAGGTTCGTCACGGGCGGTTACAATGGAACGGCCGGTAGCGACATCCTACGAGACATGACGTCAATGTCGCTTAGGGTGCCCCTTATTGCGATAGCTTCCTCGGTGGACATGTTTCACCCAATGCACGACGACAGGGTCTGTGGGGACTAGCTTTTCCACACCTCACCAGGGTGAGCTTTTTTCTCATCATCTTATAATGTGTGAACCAGTCGTTGGCACTAACTAATACCACAGTCCCTTAATACCGTTCTGGTCACGAAACTTCTCCGTCACTCTATGGGAGAGCTTGATATGGCCAAGAGCGGCCGCTACGCGGCGCAAGCCGTCCTAGGGGGGCCATCGCCCCGCTGCGCCCGGCGGAACGCACTGGCCGCGGCGGCATCCCGAAGGCGTTGTGTAGTGGCAGCTCGCGGTTTCTGCATCCGAAACGCGAATTTCATGTGCCAGTGCACCGTGCTCAAGGTGGACGGCATGAAAATTCGAATGAACAATGCCTAAGACGTGCTGTGTGACGGGTTGCAGCTCCGGATACCGAAGCAACAAAGAAAAGGCGTCGCTCTTCTGTTTCCCAAGTAGCGCCGAACTCCGAGAGAAATGGAAGCGAGCTATACCGCGGTTGGAAGCTGGCGGTTTCAGCTTCGAAAGTAAGAACGTTCTGGTGTGCGAAAAGCATTTTGATGCTAGCGACGTTGTGAGAACGGACGAGCACATCGTGAACGGGGTGGTCGTGTCGCTTCAGCGAGAGAGACCGAGGCTTCGCACGAACGCCGTTCCAAGAATTTTGACGGGCTCCCGGCGTACCTGACAAGCCACAAACAAAATCGAGGGGCTATTTGAAAGTACCTAGCAGCCGTCTTCTTGCTCTCCTGAAAATTGTTGAAGAACATGTAGAGACGTACACGGTGCAAAACATTGCATGCGGTGACGTGTACGCGAGGATTGTTGAGGGCATTTTGCCCGACAGCCGCACAGCGTCAGCAAGTGTAGGTTGTCTGCTGCACTTTTAGGGACAACAGCTGAGGTTGTACACTTTTTTTTTGAGATGTAGATTACATTTCTTCACTCGAGAAAAAAACAAAACCTCGCGGGCAACTGTGCACAGTTCATGCCCTGCAAGTGGTGGTGGAAGCCACAGTGTTAAGCATAATGGCTGTGTATGTGAGCACGCCTTCCCATTTGTATATAGTGTTGTATCTTGTATCATTACACTGTAATATTTTCGTACTATTCAATTTATCTGCATATAGTGTAAATAGTGTATATTCAAATACAGTTTATTTTAGGCAGTGAGCTAAGGCAGAGTGCAGCTGTTAATGAAACGAAATACACATTGTACAGTAGAGTCACAGATTGTGTAACATTGCTCAGAACAGCTGCAATAGTTTCTAGTGCTTTTCTTCTCCAAAGTGTTGTTCTCAGTGTATTTGTGTGTAAATAAATGCTTTCCAACTTTCCCCCATTACATGCACCATATGTTAATCTCCCATTCATAAGTACACACCTGACTACTAGGCGGCGTATCATTAGCACCAATTTAAAATTTATTGCATGCCTTAATCATAACCGCCCTTCCCCCCTCCCACCCAACAAATAAAACAAATGTGTGATGAGGTACCTCGGTAGTGGCAGAGGCGGCCAAGCGGCTTGCACTGGCATCAAAAGGAACTTCCAGATTAGGCTGCTGTACTTCCGTTCCCGGAGAAATCATGGGTTGTCGGCCGGTAAATAATAATGCCCTAAACAGTAAACACAAGGAAACGTCAAGCGGCGGATGTCCCGTGTAAACTGCGTGGAAAGAAGTGATCAATCAAATGTTGGGCACGTTTAGAGCGGTCGCGAAAGCCCTCGCATCGAAAGTCCCCGCGTCAAGAAAGCGATCGGACAAACGTGTGTCCAAAACAACTGCGCATTTGGGTATAAACTCAATTGAAAGGTCTGGAATAAAACTTCTGGCTCAACCATTCAGTTCATTTGAATACTTGGGTAGTAGCGCGCGAGAGGCGAGCCGGATATAAACCAATGTGATTGCTCCTGTACTACCCGGTCGTGTTTCATTTCGTTCACCTTCCTCCCCCTATTAGCGGCCCTACCAGAATATAAAGCTCACCTACCGCATAAACATAATCGCCTTTTGGCCGGGCGCAAATACAAACATGTCGAGCAGATCAAGCAGTAGCTGCTCGCATCAAGAGCATGGAGCATAAGCATCGTCTTTCAACACTTGCGAGCTATAGCTCGCAAGTACCGCTTCGAGGCATCGTAAGTATGCATATAATTGGGCTATGAGACAATTATTGACACAATGCGTTATCGCGCGGTGTGAGAACACTTTTAATGCGCTGCTGTTTATAAGGTGGGCCCGCACTTCCAAGTAAACTACGCGTGCGTTCCAAAGTAAACAGCTCTCATTCGTCGTCGACACTGGATCCCGTTTCAACTTATTTATCTGGTGGCATTGATGCGTTCAGAGACGTTTAAAAAAAGGTAACAGGAAGAACAGCACGCACATAATCGCGTCGAAACGTCGGCTGCAGTGCGCATACAAGCCCAGCAGTGCGGCGGCTTGTGGCCCCCATACGACGGGTGGTGCCTCTAGCGACAGATTTTGTCCCTATATCAACCTTCGGGCGAGTTTCGTGACCAGAAAAGCATTGAAGGACTCTGCTAATACTAATAAAAGTAGAACTCGATTTAATGAAAGCCGATTTCACGAATACCCTCATTGAGCGAACGAATTCGGATTCTCCCTGCAGTCCCCTATAGGCCATTTTGTTTCCCGATTTAACGAAGTTTCAGTTTAAGTAAATAATTCATGGTTCCTCAGTTTCATTTAGTCGAGTTTTAACTGTATTGCGTTAATGGCCCGAGTATTGCATTTGATCTTGCTGAAGGATATCGTACGTTAAATACTATCAAAGTGACTTTCGAGTGTGAAAAAACAATAATGCACGAGGGGGTGTGAAGTGTAACTCACATCTCCTGAGTTAGCAGCTGATCGTTCATCGCTGCTGTCACTCTCGGTGCATTGACAACCTTCTATGCCCAGTAAAAAAATCGTCGTCA